GTACCCTACCCACACTCACAGCCCGGAGCTAAGTATATGTACCCTACCCACACTCACAGCCTAGGACTAAGTATATAGCTTTGGCTAGGTACCCTACCCACACTCACAGCCCGGAGCTAAGTATATGTACCCTACCCACACTCACAGCCTAGGACTAAGTATATAGCTTTGGCTAGGTACCCTACCCACACTCAGAGCCCGGGGCTAGGTTATATTAAATTACGAATGGGTACCCCCACCCACACTAACAGTCTGGGGCTCGTTCACAACTAAGGCCTGGTACCATGCATGCATTTGCTCACAGCCCGGGTTATACTTTTACAAGTTATACTATTAACAGCCGCACACTCCAATCACACTCACAACCCGAGGCTATATATGTAGTCTATCAACAAGAACTAATAAGTCATTTTGATGTTTTCTTATACATATGTACATGTTAATCAATCATCTTGATATCGTGAAACACCGAGTGCTGTCCGTACCTGTACCAGGACCTATCTAAAGCGTACGTATGGACACGAGACTGACCTACTCGGTTACTTACCCAACAATAGTATCTTGATGACATTCTGGTCCGCTTTGGACCAATTCTGTAGCTGCCGGTCAAGATCTTCACTACGGGCACGTGCCTTTAATTCTTCCTGGTCCAGACTTAAGCATTGGCCCATAGTAACACGCGACTACATGTTTCACACTTGGTTGTAAAGTTGTACTATTATCACTGGTAATGATACACCTCTGTCCTCACGTGGAGAACTATCAACATCATCAACCCATTCCTCCAAATATGGTAATATCCGAATTAGAAAAAGAAAAACGTATGAAATTTCCTGAAAAAAATGCTCGTATAGCCAAAAAATGGTCTAATGACATAAGCGTTCAGCTGTCATGATCGTCTTCCGTGTATATCCTGTGTTTACAGTGTAATCACCTGTCTGGCTATGATCGCCTATACATATATCGCGTGTATTGGCCCAATTTTTAGTATGTAATAAGGTCAGTGGGCGTTTCCATGCGCCAAAACGAGGCTACTTGCGGTGTAGTGAGAAATAATGCCCCTAGTACATTGTGATGGGGACAATTAATAAACTATAAATTAAAATATCGCATATTGAAATCATTCTATCAGAAAGTCATGTAACAATCTTTAAATTGATGTTCATTAAAAAATATGTCTATTGTATCTTCATAGATTTTATATAACTATTTTCCTTTCGTGTTTTTTTTTTTCAAATGCCACACCATTTAACTTTCAACGCGAAATGGAGGCCAAATCGAAGTTAATTTAATATTGTTCCAAATAAATTTAAAAGTTTGGGGACTTTCCCATGCAGTTGAGATATAAACATATCTGTTGCGGCTGGATATATTAGGTAAAATATTACGGTGACATTGTAGTTGGCATAGACCTTTTTTGAACCTACGTTTGGCTTTTGACTTTCAAAATTGTAACATTATAACACAAAAAAGACATTGAATTGGTCTTATGTTGACGTTTTGTTTGTTAATAAGATCACACTTTTATATGTTTTGTTTGTTAGTAGTATCACACTTTTATATGTTTTGTTTGTTAGTAAGATCACACTTTTATATGTTTTCAGAGAATGGTTCAACATGTAATTATTTACCCTGAGCTAAAATCATCCGAGTCCGATCAACATGGAGTGAGGATCTAACGCAATCAAAAGTGTCTTTTCTTCACTGTGAAGTGAGCAATCGGGATGTTTTTGCTCCATTATAAAGTGTGAGTGTGCGTGATCATATAAGTTCTCAAGTAAAAAACAATATATTTTAGAATAATAAAATCTATTATTATACCTTCTGTTAAAATCTCGTATTCTGATTGGTTGAGAAAGATGTGAACATTTTCAATGTTACTTGCTCGTTTTATAAAGATAAAGAAGACATGGTGTTATTCCAAAAAATATCACATGCGCCAAACGTATGCGTGCACGATTCGTCCCAGTGCCAGGGTGTTATTCCAAAAATTGTAACATGCTCCGAATGTATGCGCCCCTGGTTCATCCCAGTGAAAACTTTTCTGAATTTGTTTGTTTGATTTTGTTTAACGTCCTATTAACAGCTAAAGTCATTTAAGGACGGCCTCCCATGTGTGCAAGATGCATGCGTGTAGTGTATGTGTGTGTATTTTGGGAGGCTGCGATATGTTCGTGTTTGAAACTTTTCTGAAACGTTTGTCGACCTTTAAAAATGATGAAGTGGTGAAACACCTTAACATGACATTCGGTACAATAAAATAAAAATCACATTCATGAGAGGGCGATATTGCATATTTTCACCCCTCGGAAACCATTGTTGTCCTCGGCTTCGCCTCGGTTAACAATGCTTCCTTGGGGTGAAAATTTGCAATATCGCCCTCTCATGAATGTGATATTTATATATTACCTGTAACTGAGCAAGGTCGGGTTATCTCAGTCGAGGGGTAAGATTCTGTAACAAAATTCCAACCGAGGCGTAAGCCGAGGTTGGGATGTTACAGAATCTTAGCCCGAGACTGAGATAACCCGATCTTGCTCAGTTACAGGTAATTGGTTTTTTTTTCTCGCACCTTTTAGTTCGAAAAAAACTATTCAATCTTGCTAAAAACTACAAGTATCCCGCCTTGGGCCTCAACTGATAATGACCTCTTCACTACTTAAGCTACATTTGAATGCTTCCGCGTAAAAACGTAGTCCGTCCTTACATAGATTACAACGTATTTTACAGTATAGATTATATTTTATCTACAACATCAAATAAAACGACAAAATAGAACATTTATAATGCAAATTGTCAATTTCAAGCAGTTAACGCGCGGATAAATACATCGCAATGTAAATATTCCGCGAAATGTCACGTAAAGGTACAAGACAGATCGGACAAGATAGAAAAATCTAGCATGGGGTATGACGTGGGATATCTGTGTCTGAGGTGCGAGAATTACTAGTCCACTGATCTAGTAGATTAAAGTGTATCTGTTATCTGTATTAAAGTATCTGTTGCTCGAGTATAAAATCATATACCTGGTAGACCTCTGCTGAAATCAACCTAGGACATAGTACAAATTTTGATCTAGCAGCTATATCGGTGCACGAAGAAAGATAACTCGCTTTAACGCGTGTCATAGACCGGATATTATAAGTCAGGATAAATATAAGGGAGTACACCGCTTATTGCAAAACAGACACATTTCAAACGAGCTGACTTCAACACAAGACAACGCTAGTATATGTATAGATGAAGGTTGATATGGGAAGTAAAGAAAAGCAAGACGAGCATTATGTGATGTTTGAGACAATCTCGTGACATCAGTTGATATATTCTTGATTGGAAAGGCTGTGAACTGAAAAAGGTATAAGGCCTATCGGCATAAATGTATTATAGATGCAGGACATTTCATCAGCTGCAATATATTATTGTGGTACTATACTTGAAAGTGACAACTGCTTATATGTGTGAGTTCAATAAGCCATGTCAAGCACATGAAGAAACCTGTGAACACCGAACATGAAAACACTCGCATCACTCTGTTTATGTTTTTTAACATCTTTATTGTCGATAAAGTTCACCAGATGGCGCTGAGATCCATTACTGGAATATTGGCCAATCAAATTCGAAGATTGGAGTTGGCGGCACATTTGATGCTACCTTTTGGTGGGAAGTCACTTTGCGCCAAGAAGACCCGAACGAGTGGACCAGATTTTTTTCTGAACGACATACCCTTACAGAAAATGTTGGGTTCCAGTCAACTGAAAACCATCAAAGGAAAAGGTCTGTACACAATTATTTAAAAAAAAGTGTTCCGAAAAGGTCGGATTATTTAATAAACAATTTATTAACGCGTCTTGGTGCGCTCACAGTGTCGGTGAACTGTTAAGCCTTGTAAGGCTTGTAGCTTTTATTTTTTGTTTAATGTATTCACTATCCTTTAAATCATCTGTTTTGTATTGATGATTTTAACGTGATTTCAATTGGTCTTTTATTTTATTCGATTTTTCGTCTAATTTACACTATTTAACTGAGTTCAAGTCTAAACAAAGGACGGACTGGAATAGAGGAAAATAAATATGAAAATTTAATTTAATCGTCAAAAAACGACAGATTCCGTACAAAACTAATTCTTTTACTTTTGGATGGAATTTACATTAAATTCTTGTTCATAAAAAAAAAAAAAAATTGCAAAATTTTGCACTGACTATTAATGGGGAAAATCAAATAATAGGAAAATCGTCATTCAATTAACTTACTGATATTTTTTTAATTAAAAAACTTCGTTTTAGAAATCCTGGAAAAGTTTAATTAATTGTATTTGGTCCAGAAAATTAAGGGTCGAAGAATAGATCGAAACAGAGACTAGCTTTCAGACTTGAACATGTTTTTTTGCCAGTTCTTGGGAGCTTGTCTCTGCCGTCGGCAAAATCATATCCGATTGAAAAAAGGCAGACCAGTGGCCTCTCATGTTATGGGAGTACCTCGAAAATATGCCTATAGATACACATTGGACATCGGATATAGGCCTAGTGTAATATAACGTTACTAGGTCAGCTTTATATATTGTCCTTTTGCAAGATTCTGCCCAATTTTGTTTGTATGGAGTGGCAAAAAAGACACTTGAATCTTCTGAGCCTTAGACCATCAACTGATCAGATCAGGTCGGGGAAAACCACTAACTTAAGTATAATATGCAAACTCGCCTATTCTACGCCAATAGGGGTATGGATTTGCAACTAAAAGTAGCCAAAATCACTTTAATCGGTAATACAAATGCAAAAATAAATTCTAATTGCATGTGGGAACGTACCAAAGATAGATGCAATACTTCCGGTAAAGTTACACCAAGTTTCTAAGTAGACAACGCTTTCAGTAAACATCTTTTAGCAAAATATTATTTTCCTTGTCGTAAATTAATGCGATTTTTTAAAATATCTTGCAAAACTTACTGTTACCGCGATTTGGGTTATTTTTAGTAACAAATCCATATTCCAACTGGCTTATTATACGCAGGTTGGTGGTTTTCCCCACCCTGCAGATACCAGAGAGACAGACTCCAGCTCATTACCACAATCACATGATACTATGAAAGCTTTAGGCCACAGACAAGTCTGTCAAACTTAGGAGAGAGGAAGATCACAGTATTTAATAATTAATGTGTGCAAATATGTGTTGTGATCAAAGTTTTTTTTTAACTTATCAGTACGAATGAATTTATTTTTCATGATCATATGTATTACCTGCTTGCAGTGTTTGAAGAAGAAGATCTAACTACTTTGCTCCCGAAAGGAAAGAAGAAATGCACTGTAAGTTGTTAACAGCTGTATACAACTTTGCAACCTTATTGTTAATTCTGAGTAAGAATTTTGAATGAAGTAATTGTAATGCTAGTTCACAAACTAATTTCAACTACTAGTTAAAAACCGTTGTCGAGTGATTTGTAGATTTAATCAATAATTACAATTAATGAAAAACATGTAACTTGCTACCAGTTATATTTAACAATTGTAAGTCATGTGAAATGGTCCAGTTCATTACTCTTTTAAGGTCATTCAGATTCACAAGGTTCCATTGTTGTACATTCCATTTGTCATACATAAAAAAAAATCTTATTTTCAATTTCTCAAGAACTGTCGGAATCTCCCCAGATAAAGTGATTTACAATTGTAAAGTTGTAAAATTTAGGTAAAACCCCCACTGAGATAACAGAACCATTAAACAACATTTCTAAAACTTATTGGATTTTCATCAACATTCTATAAAATGATCTGTAGATGATGGGGATCATTATGAATCTATACTCAAAATATTCATGACCTTTAAGTGGATTGGTCCAACTATCATCAGAATTATCTTTAGATGATGACCAAAAGGGACTACCTAGAACAGTACCTGTACAAGTTTGTTTTGTTTTAGATCTCTGTAGAAGGCAATATTGGATGTGGAAAGACAACTCTGCTAGAGTACTTCAAGGAATCGCCAAATGTGCAGGTTTGTAAATATGTGTCAGTACATTGACAAAATTAAAGTTTAATGATGGTGTAAAGGCTATGGGTAGTAATCCTATAAAATATATACATAGTTTTAATTTGTTTAAAAAAAGGAAATAGTTGATAGTACAGTATATCTAGCTCTCCATTGTGTGTGAAAGCAACAGCATTGAAATTAGCCAGAGTAAGTCGGGTGTCTGGCCCAAAGTAAACTAGGGCTGTATCAAAATTTGACATTGTATTCACTTTTTATTGGAATTGCTCATTTCAGTCATTTGTCACAAATTAATTTGTTACCTTTTTTCAGCTACGTTTTATTTTCCCAGGGAAAAAAATCTGCATTTTAAACTGAACTTTGTTTACTGTTTTCATGTTCATCCAATTATAAATCAAACCTTCTAGTCCAGAATGGTGGCCACAAAAAACAGTCTATCCATTTAATGTTTTCTATCATTTATGGGAGTAAAACAACATTGTAACAATCTGTGTGACTTTCCTATATATGTATAAATCTGGTTTTCGTACAAATTCAGTATGTTTCCGTCAAGCCCAGTCAGTTACATGGAAAGCAGACATTTTATTATTTATTGTACGGAGGTTTTGACCTTGGGTTTCACATAACCTCAGTATATAGATAGTATGTTACTTTCACAAACTTGTCTCTAGAAATAGATGACATTATACAGTATAACATGGTACTGAATTGTGTTTAAAATACAGATTTGTGATAAAAATTGTAGAGATCAAAGTCAGTTATTATGTTAAATAATAGAACTGAAGATAATTTTCTTAATGTCAGACTGATTGAAAAGCTGATGTACATGCATATTCCACATATATATATAAGTGTATTGTGTTATTTATTTAATTTCTATGTATAATTTCAGGCTATTCGAGAACCTGTGGAACAGTGGACCAATGTTCAGGGCCACAATGCATTGGTACGTCTGGTCACAATCTCCCTTACATAGCAATACATTTATAAAGGAGAAATTCAGTTGTATTGTTAATTTTACGTTCTATTTGTTTCTTGATGGTAGGATAATTTTGTATGTCACCCTGGTACAAAACATTAGCTACTTCCTACCAACTTAGCAAGGGAGAAATATTTCTCTCCAACTCCTTCAGTAGATTTCGCACAAGACAAGTAAACCAGAGGTTCTGAGTTTAACTCCTATAAAAAGCTTTGAAAAAAAAAATGACCTCTGTTACATGTGGTATATATAAATATGTACAAGTTTCTGTTAGTCTATTACCTGAATGACTTAATCAGTTATTCAACTACCTTTACATAAACCCAAAATTTACAACAGTGTTCATGATAATCAAGGCAAGCAAAACACCTTAACATGGTTTTAAAGGATTTATAAAATCAGTAAAAAATGACATTTATAAAACAATTCTCCATACTCACCTATATAAATTTCAAATCTTGAGTCAGGTTTAAGCAAGTACGCAAGGCCTTTTAAATTGTGTTTACTCGTACAAAGCCTTTATTAATTGGTCTAGCAAAAATTAACTGAACTGGTTATGACCAGTGGCTAAATCAATCCATTTGAAGTATTTGTTAAATATCATTTTAGATTATATTTGCTAGTTTGATTTGTTGCAAAATTATTCAAGAAGTGATTTTGTATGATTTAGATTATTTACATGTGTGCTTATTGTATAGAAAGGCTGAAACACAACAAGCAATATCAATCCTCATTAGTGAATTCTATTATTTAGATGAATCATAATCACTGCTTGATATGTTAACAGGCCCTTCTGTACCAAGATCCAAAGCGATGGAGCTTCTCCTTCAATCTGTATGCCCAGCTGACCAGGATACAGATGCATGTATGTCCTCATGTGAGTATTGAGTACACCTTTAGATATATCCTAGCAACAAATCCATGTTTAGTGTTTATCCTAGAACTAAAAGTGTGGAATCTCAAAACTATGTACAAGACATAATTGTTTTTGAGAATTTCAGACTTTGTGTGGTTTATTCCAAATTACAATAATGAAATATTGAAAATATTAGGGAAAATATTGAACTTCAATAATGAAAATGAAAGAATACAGACAACTGCTCATTATACAAAACTGAATTTATATCAACAGCTTTTCTGCAGTGTCATTGTTTTTCCAAGAGATAATCTACAGAATAAGTACACGTTAGATCTTGGATGTGTACAATAGTTTTAACTTTTACGTCTCAATATTTTAGGAAAAACCTGTGAAGATGCTGGAGAGATCATTATTCAGCACACGATACTGCTTTGTGGAAAATGACTACGTCAAGTATGTAACTCGCAAGTTTGTTAATATTCACTGATATAGTGAACGCCATATTTTGTATGTTTGAAAGTGAATACCTGGACAGACGACTTGCTTCTTGGTAGTGAATTCAAAGACGGAAAGACTATTAGTGTTTTGTAGTAAAGACCAGGACAAGAGGTTTTAGTGTTTGGTCTTGAATACTACAATAGTATGACTTAGTGTTTGGTTGTTAATACAGGACAGAATGTTTGGTAAAATGATGCGAAAACATTCAGTGGAAAATGTAATACTTTTGTCATGCTTATTTCATGATTGCTGTCTTAAATCCTATTTGGAAAAGTGTTTCATTTTTGTTTTCAGCAAAACTATCAATGGACTAGAATATGCCATTTTGAACCAGTGGTTTGATTTCTTAACTCAAAGAAAAAGCACAGAACTGGACCTGATAGGTAAGTTGGATTCCAGTATCCAATCTGTAATAATTCAGAATTTTTCCTTTTCAGGGCTAGGTATTCCAGATATGAAATAATAAAACATAAAGGAAATAAGGAAAGGCACTATTTTGGAACTCTCTACCACCAAAAAAACCCAATTAATTCTTTTTTATTGACGCTGTCTATACAAATATTTGAAAGATATGTATCTTGCAGAATTTTCTGATCAATAATTATTGTGATTTTGAAAAAGGCTAGCTATAATAATGTCAAAGAGAATAAATAAATATCTCAAAATTAAAATGTAAATTATTATTTATGTTTCAGTGTATTTGAGAGCTGATCCCAGAACATGTTATGACAGAATCAAGAAAAGATCAAGAAAAGAAGAAGTTGGCGTACCATTTGTAAGTTTCAATCTTGATAAACCTTGCCGAGGAAATAAAATATTTGAACCTGGAGAAGAAGAAAGAAAAAAAAAACTTGTTCAGTAGAATGGTACCCAGATTCCTAACCAAAAATAGTTTTTAGCACTGATTGACTTGTGTATTCAGAAAGTCTTACCTCTGGTATGTTAAACTGAAATTATAAACTAAAGCAGCACCACTTCAAAACTACAGACCTACTAGAAGCAAATGTCAGCATTGCCTTTGTTGGTGAAATGATTGCATGTAATCATTTGTCAAGGATTAACCAGGAAAAAATACCCCAAGTTCAAATTGGGGAAAACCAATAAAACAAGGAACGTTCAAAAATATTCATAAACTGTCCATTTTGCTTAAAGTTAGTTGCTAGTTGATCCTGAAATCAAGAAAGTGTCCAACACCTGTTGGTATCCACTATGTAAACAAACTACAACAATAAGAATAAGAATAACCCAGCCACTTGAATATTTCTGATCAATTCAATCATGCAACTCTTAACGCAGAAGTTTGAGTTTCTGGTTGAAAAAGACCACAGAAGAGGCTTTAATGTAGCATCTGGTTAATATCCTTTAATGTAGCATATGATGAAGCTGTTATAATATTACATTTGTTTGTGTGTAACTCTGTACAATGAGTTTACAAGTATAACCAATAATTGGTACCTTTGATTTCAAACCTTCTGAAAGTAAAGACATGAATATTGAAGGAGTTTCTTGTACAATTTATTAATCTGTTTCCTAGGAGTTGATTCAGAACTTGCATGATCTACATGAAGAATGGCTGGTGCATGAAAGAAACTACAAGTCTCCTTGTCCAGTGCTGGTAGGTATTGAATTAACAACAGGCCTTAAAAGGAAAGATGGGGAACAAAATTTAGGCCTGTATTGTAATGGAGCTTGTTTTCATAACATTAACATATATATAACTAGAATATTGCATCACAACAACATAGAAGAGAAAATCAGCTGTGTTGCAGTTTAGATGACCAATATGGACATTTTTCTTAAAGATTTCTTGTCATGCTGTTCTTTAATAAATTATGATGATATTAATGCAATTAACATTTAAGTATTTCATAATTGATAAAATAAGGGTTTGTTTAAAAGATTACCTTTGTTTTTATACAGATTCTTGATGCTAACAACGAATATACTCATATGACAAAGTTATACGAGGACAAACGACAAGAGATCTTGTGTGGGTATATATGAAGGCAGGACTGAGGCCACGAGAGAGTGGCTAGTGACAAGTAGTGATTAAGACTGGAGCTTCAGTATTGATGTTGACAACACCAACGAGTCATTAACTCCGCCCAAGATTGACAGTGTTAGAATACTCCAATACAAATATGGCACCAGTTGATTGTCCGAAGTTTATCGAAACAACAGCATTTCCTGTGAACCGTATTGACCGTCATCTGACAGCAAGTCATTATTCTACTGATCTCATTTTCTCTTGTATTTAATTTAAATATGTAATGTGTATGACACCAAATGATCTAACAGTTCATTTCTTCAACACTGGTTTTTGTTATAATGAAACAGAAAAAAAAAAATTAGTCTTTGTTCTTGTCGGAGACTATTTTAGTATAATGACTGCCTTTTACCAAAAGTGTTCATGAACGACTAAAATTCAATATCAGACATCCTGCCGTCAATTTCGGTGAAAACTGGGGTCCATGGAATTTGGAAATTTTGTGCTCCAAACTGAATAAATGTTGAAAGTTGGGGAATATTACTTTAAATGTGTAATGGATATGAGGAAATGTTCAGTGCCAGACATACCTCAGTTAAAACTAGTTCAAATATTGCTAATATGGTCAGAGTGTTCAGTCGCAGACATACCTCATCAAACTAGTACAAATATTGTTATAAATGAGTAAACGTTCAGTACTAGACAGTACTCAGAATTAACTAGGTAATTCAGATTTTGTTTTAGACGAGAAAATGATCTTAACCAGATTACCTCGGCAGTTTATTTTACAAATCGTTGTTTAATATTAAATAGTACTAGACATAACCCTGTCACAGATATGATATTGTCAAACCAAATCAAATTGTTCATTGATTCCGGTGTAGGGACAGTTTTAATAAAGGTTTTATCAAGTTTTAACTAAAAAACTTTCTTAAAAAAAAATCACCTTGTCCATTTTACATCTTAAGTTTTATCAAGATTCTTTATTTATTTTTAAATGTTTTTAAAGCATGTTTAAAACTGTATCTGGTATATGAAGAAGACAAAAACTTCGAAGTCGGGCTATTGATATTCCGATTTTTGCGGATGTTGTGGCCTGAAACTAGTTAGTACTTGAACTTTATTTCTTCTATTCCTCTTTCTATCTCTTCAATCTGTTAAATGCTCATTTTTGTATTTAACATACACTGGTACACTTGATGTAAGACTATTTTGAAGATATATTGATGACGCTGTTTTCAGTATGAATGTTTAGTCAGTGTGCTTGGTTGTAACTACAAGATGATACTTTACCTTCAGAAGTTGGTAAGTTTGCGTGTATGGTTTTATAAGTCGTAATGAATGGAGTAGTGCTACAGTTTTAGTTATTTTGACACGAATGAAATCCAATGTATAAATGATTTTTTTTTTATTGAAAAAAATGGTTGACTCCACTGGTTTTATTCAGGAAACCTGTTTGTTGATTTTGTTACATTTATGAATTTGTTGTGTGTATGTGAATGGACTCTTTGTCGTGAATGTGAAAGTGTATGTATGGAGATCCCAGTGTCGTGTGGCCAATAGACTAGAATATCTTGGAAGCCTTATTTTCATTGGGACCTACAGTAAATGTACTTTTCAATACTATAGTTATTTATAGGTAAATAAATATATTTAAGAATAATAATCACTTTGTTTACTCGTCATTTTCAACAACAATATCTACCTTCAGTCAAGCTTTATGAGCTAAATGCCTGTAGACTATAGTTAAGACTGTATTACTATATACTGCCGACTGTATTACTATATACTGCTGACTGTTTTACCCATTGTCTGTATACGGTACTATAGTTAAGACTGTATTAATATATATATACTGCCGACTGTTTTACCCATTGTCTGTATACAGTACTAGAGTTAAGACTGTATTACTATATACTGCCGACTGTTTTACCCATGTATACGGTGCTATGATGGAATAATGTGTTGGATACTCTCTGCATGGTATTTCTGTGAGGTACTGCTCTAATGTTGGCATCAGATCCATGTTATTGCAAGCGGGCAAATACAACACATTTCTAACGATATGCAGAAGTTTTACATAATGCTGGAGTAATACATGGGAAAGACATCCCATGCATTAAGTTACACCAATATTAGTTATCTATCAATATAACTAGACCAATGCTGAATTACCTACATACTGCCTGTTTAAAGCTTCCAACTAGGAATTCAGCATCTTTTCCCTGGGACAGCAATGTGTGAAACCAATTATTTTTCTATGTATCGAAAGATCCACCCAAAAATGAATAGAGAAGGGTAGCAGAGTACAGTAGAAATGGCCTGATCCTAAAAATAAAGGGCATGGATAGCGGATTTATCCTGCACAACACACCTACATATATATATATGTTTATAAACTACATTTTGTTTAGATGACTGAATTTTTTTTTCAATAATTGTTTTCCCCAGATTTGGGTCTTGTGAAAATCATGGTTACCACACCAAAAATTGCAAAAAGTCTTGATTTTTAACCAAAAATTTGACCCCCGCAGGTAATATTTTTTTCTTTAAACCTGTCTTAAATTAAATTTTGCCTGCTCGGTAACAGAAATACTCGCGTTTTAGCATAGGTCATTACGGTGGAGTTAACACATGTGCTGAGTACAAAAATAGACTACATGAAATGCAAGCTTTTGTTTAGACACAGAGTTGTAAATGCTCAAAATTGTAGTCTCGAACCATTTTTTTTTTTTTTTTTTTTTTTTAATTATAGTCCACTTCATCATGTATATGCTGATTTTTGTAAAAAAAAATGATACATGTAATATTACAGGGGTTATTCATTGTACAAAACTATCTCCCATGGCCACCATATGCTACTGTACACTGCTACTGTTTTGACACATTACAAAAAAGTATTTACCTGTCAATTTAGACTTTTTGCAGAGACATTGTGAATGGTTATGTCACAATCGTGTTTCTCAAAGAAGGGTATTTTATTAACACAATTGAGTTTGTAACCTTTATTAATCATTATATTGGCAGGTGTTTTGACCAACAAGGCTAGTGCTTGTGCTTGAACTGAAGCTAAGTATCTGGGTGAAGGTTGACTTTCAGTGGATCTGTATGCTATGCCATTACAACAGAAACCTAAACCATGGTAAAAATGCACGCAAGTTATCAAATCCTTTATATAGTGATTGTTTTGTTGAGAAGTGCATACTTCTGTAATAGGAGTGGGAAAATGCACAGCCATACCTGGACCCTCCGAACTCGAGACGGACGCTCTACCAATTAAGCTATCTGGTCGGCGATGATTGACACAGTCCAGTTCTGCTACATCCCTCCTTTCTTTTTCTAAGTCACCCCAGAAGACCTAACTATTTACAACCCAGATTCAGGTATCCCTTTGTCAAGCATTCACCTATTACTTGAAACAAGAGTTGGTCACAGGCACCAAATGTAATAGGAGCAGAAAAATGCACGGCCAGACTGGGTTCGTGCCCGGGACCATCCAAACTCTAGACAGACGCTCTACCAATTGAGCTATCTGGTTGCTGACGATCTATCCAGGCCAGTTCCGCTACACTTCTGATAAAAGAAAATCCAATGCTTAATATGATTTAATCAACATTTATTAAATATATCACAGATCATTTGATAACAGATCATTCTTACCAACAAAATTGTTTGAAGGATGTTCTGTAGTACATGAAAAGGAAAATGGATTTCAACATGGCTATTCCGTCTTTGCGTATTGCAGAGTTATCTTCTCTTGGGAGCAGGTATTGATTGTTACGTCACTTGTTCGTGAGAGTAACGTCATCAATTTTTGAGAAAACGCCGTAATTTTCTCGCACAAACCAATGACGTAACAATCAATACCTGTTTCCAAGAGAAGATAACTCTGCAATACGCAAAGACGGAATACAGAATATTAGTCAAAGGTAATGGTAACACTGTATAGTACAGGTGTAGGTTATCAATGACTGGCACAGATGTCATCACACATTTGCAACTTGCACATACTTTCATTAAACAGACTTGATGTACATTGTGTGAACTATACAAACCTGTGTATATTACAATATTCACATTTTACATTGTATTCAAAATAAAAGTTGGGTCTGTATAACACTTTGGCACGGGATACCTGCCAAAAGAAAGTCGGATTGATCTGTTCCAATGGAATCATCACACTTCCACCATAAATGTGCTGGTTTGTGTTGTAAGCATGTCTACAACCAGCAGAGTCCTTACTGCAGTGATAGTACCGATGTAAGTTTCACAGATACGAGTAGCCCTGCTCGTCTCCATCAGCGCATCAATCCTGACAAGCCAGTAACGCTGACTCGAGAGCAGCATCAGCACCAGCTGACACAGAGTCTTGGTCTTTCTGTTGACAAAAAGAGTAAGTACTTCAGTGTAGAAGGTTGGGAGAACAACAGCCTATGGATACAGGCATTTACTGTAATACTTCAAAGGTCTTCATCCATTAATTATTATAACACCTTTACAAATTATCCAAAACTATTATTATTTAATCATTGCTTGACAGTGGTTTCACATGTCTCATTTACAGGCTGATATTTTAGTTAGAGAATGTAATATGCTTACATTCTGTTCCAGGATTAGGAGTTCACACAGACGTTTGACCTCCTTGGGTCTGGCCAGTAGAGAGCACTGTAGCTTCTGGTACTCCTGGTTCATCTCCCGGTGTTTCTTTGTGGAGGCTAAGCTCTCCCGCACATTCTTATCATAGAATCTGTTGGAAAGTATGTTCTACTGAATAGCATGTCTAATTTGACTGTACCAGTTATTATTGTGTAAGATCATCAACTTATTGGCAACAATATATTTTATCCACCAGCAACATTGCAACATAATGATGGGGTCCAAATTTATCTAAATGTTGAACAGTTCGTACAGAAAATGTACTTGTTTACATGCATAGTGATGTTATTTACTACAGACCTACAGACTGATTACAGACTTCTTATACATGTACCTGGAACTTTTCCAGTCCTGAGAAATATTCTATTGAAATTATCCACTTATCACTTCCAGTATTCTCCATATTATTTTTATACCTCTGCTTTAACAAAGATATAACCAACTTCATATCAATTATATGTTGCATATAGATATCTTGATTAGCTGTGTCTTAACCCTTTTATAGATAATGGCATTGTACATGGTGTTTCACAGATTTTTGGTCCGTTTCTTCTATATAGGGATACACATTGACAACAGACTGGCAGATTTACTACAGACTGACTACAAATAAAGGTAACTATCATCACTTCAGTTTTGTTGATAACTACATAATGTATTTTCAAGCTGATTGATTTTGGGAGTACTGGTATGCTTCAAAGCTGTTATCAGCAATATGAATAACTAAATAGGTTGTATTATACAAAATTAATAATACTTACCGGTCATATTCTTTTTCGATCTCTCTAACCCTCTTAAAGGAATCTTTAATTAGTTCTTTATATGTTGGTGCATCAAGAGTAAATACTGTTAAGGAAAGTAACATGCTGCATCACCAATTAAGAGTCTCAACATATACCTACCATGTGTAGTTCAGATAACAGCTATATAATGTGAATACATTTTGTATATAGAATTTATGATCAAAACAATCTAAATAATAGTTTGAAGTTTATGATGCAGCATTACAGCCAAAATATTTGATTAATCACTGAGATCAGCCTAAAATTTAGTAAAGAATATGTAGCATATATTGTACTACATACCAAAAAGAAAAAATGTTAAGTATATATATCGGTAAAGGATATGCTGGTAGATTCTCGAGCTCCGTGCGACGGACGCGTACCACCATACCCCCCTCCTGTGATATATTTCTCATGCGCAGGAAATGAGCCAATAGGGGACTCTGGCCATGGATGTTGAACAAAGAACGCCGGAAGTCAGGTCCTCTGCAAGCAGGGTGAGACTGTAACATAACAAATTTGACTGAACACAAGGCAAATGTTTGTTATGTTAACAACAGGCCCAGGCAGCTTGTATTGCTCACCTGGATATTTAAGCAACCATGGCAAAAAAAATCCCCCATTTTGGGCTAGCTCTGCTTCACAGTACGAAAGTGGATTATAACACCTTTCTTTTAAATAACATTTGAATTCCTGATCCCAAGATCATATGATGCCAAAATTGCCTACAAATAGTATGATCATCATGCAAATTTTATCTCATCATTTGAACATATAAACTTATATGGTAAACATTTATTTTTAACCTTAATTTTGTTCTAAAAAGACATCTCAGTGATTTAAAAATTATGTATTAAAGTACCTCTTTGTAGAATTTGTCATTGGACGATTTCATTGCAGCTGCCTTTGCCATGACTACAGAGGCGTTTGAGGTTTTTATCTTCATTTTGACATGTTCATCTTCTAGAGTTGTCTCCCTTATTGGTGTCAGCGCATCCATTATCTTACGAGGATCTGATTGTTTCTTGCCCATTCCACCCATCCTTTTGTTATCCACAACTTGATGTTCAGCCACTGTATCAATAATGGCTCCATCCTGTGAAGAACCCGGCGACTGACTTCTATATCTGGGTGTCACTCCCGTTACAGAACCCCTTTTCCGCAGGGTTCCATGCTTCCTGTTACGGCCGCCATAGCTCTGCATGGACGACTTAGACACGGATTGGTTGAGGGAGGTCATAGAGGTGTACTGACTTCCATTACTGGAGAACAGGGAGTCCAAGAAGTCAAAGTTGAGTGTGGCTGAAGTCGCTGAGATATAAAAAAAAAAAGGAGAGCAATTATGTACAAAATATATTGTTGTGTATTGAACCACTCAATCTAGCAAATGATTTATATGGCTACATTTTCATAAGTAAATGTGATGAAGTTGTTGCAATTTAACACTAAGATTCATCACTGGCCACTTTAGAAATGCAAGGATACAGGCCAAAATACAACAACAGAGCTATTGTATGTAAGTGTATTTGGATGATAGTTATTGGGTTGGGATCTCAACCATCACCATTGAAACGATCCACGGACATTGGAATTTACAACACATTTATATATTAAAGAAACCAAAGGTCAATCTATTCCATGCTGTGAAAATTAGATGAGATTAATGGGTATTCCTACAAAGAAACAGAATACCACATTTATGATTCGCATATTCTTAATTACAAAAGCATGATAGACTCAGGATGATATAGCAGCTAATACGGGGAGACATTTAAGAAGAACATGCTTGTTAAAAATAGTTACACGAAACCTAAATTTTTACAGTTTAGTATTTTAATCATTTGCATTTCATTGTAGAATGGTATCTTTCAGTCAGATCGATATGTCGACAGATGACCGTTGCCACCTTCTATACATTTTAGATTCCCACCATCTAGGGATGCTTCCAGTTAAAGTGGGGATGAATTCCAATCAGCAATTCAGAAGAAGTTGTTTGAAGAACTTTCTGACTTACAAACAGTCCTTTGGATCCATGTGATAAATCTATCAAGTGTTTAGTAACCAAACTCACTGTAAGTTCAAGTAAATCCATTTTATTTTCCAAAACGTTCAATTAAACAAACTGTTCCACCAAAATTCATATTCAAAAAGGAATTTCATGGATACCTTAGATCATTCAAACTATAAACAAAAACTTCAAATTAACATTATGTACTTTACTTTACTTGCTTGTAATACAATCAATAGAAGTCCATTGTATTATATTGATTATTGATTTTTTTGTATATTTTTAGAGGCAATGTCAGTTCTGCTTAAACAGTTTAGAAACTTACTTTTCTTCTTTTTCTGAGCATTTGCCATTTCTTCTCTCATCTTTATGTTTGGTGGCTCAAGTTTATCAAAATGCCATGCCATCCAAATCCGAGGGGTAGGTTTGATACCTGTAGAATTTGAGAAGTGGTGCAACTAACTTTATCAAAGATTTTTAATTTTCTAACTACTTTACTGTACTCTTTTAATCACAACCATTTATTACACTCCCTTAGTCAAAATTCATTATTACACTCCCTTATTCAAAACCTTATTACACCCTTTTATTACAACCCTTTATTACATTCCCTTAGTACAATCCTTTATAACACTCTTAGTCACAACCCTTAATTGATTACACTATGAAAATCACAACCCTTTATTATATCGCCTTAGTAACAACACTTTATTACACTTAATCCCAATCCTTTATCATATCTCCTTAGTAATAACACTTTATTACACTCCCCGAGTCACAAACCATTATCACACACATTTTTTTTAACACAACCTTTAATTATACTCCCTCTGTCACAGCCCTTTATAATATACACTAACTATTCACAAGCATTCTCTAAGTCACAGCCCTTTAAAACATTCCCCCACTTTCAACCCTTCATTATATTTCCTTCGTAACATCCCTTTATTACACTCTTTAAGTCACAACACTTAATTACACTACCATAATCACAACCCTTCATTATATTCCCTTTTTCAACCCTTTAAAACAATCCCTTACTCTTAACTCTTTATTACACTCTTTTAGTCACAAATTTATTAACTCCCTTAATCACAACCCTTTAAAACACACACATATATATATATATCAATATCTTACATCAGATAGCGAGTCATTGAGAGGTGATTTCAAGCCAGGCAGGAAAAAATCACTTACCAGCAATCCACTGATACACCAAAGCCACCAAGTCCTCCTTAAACTGCTCCCCAAACTGTTTGTAGGAGTCTGGGAATGAGTGGCAGTAGGCAGCATAGATGGCTTGAGACATCAGACTTGGGTAGTCCTGAAATATCACCGCAGTCAAACACAATAAAGTCAACTAGAACTGTCAGTCACTGGATAATGTAAGTATGTGCTTACTTACTCACCAAATTGCTACTTTGGGCAAATTTTTTGACCAGTAGTTTTAGTGAAATGAAATAAAAAAATTGTTAACCAGATAACAAATTTTTGAAATATTACACACTGTGATGTGTATATACGTGTAGCTAGTCTACATGTACAGCTTACACTAGCTAGTCTACATGTACAGCTTACACTTGCTAGTCTACATGTACAACTTACACTAGCTAGTCTACACGTACAGCTTACACTAGCTAGTCTACACATTCAGCTTACACTGGCTAGTCTACATGTACAGCTTACTCTAGCTAGTCTACATGTACAGCTTACACTAGCTAGTCTACATATACAGCTTACACTAGCTAGTCTACATGTACAACTTACACTAGCTAGTCAACAGGTACAGCTTACACTGGCTAGTCTACACGTACAGCTTACATTATCTAGTATACACGTACAGCTTACACTGGCTAGTCTACACGTACAGCTTACACTGGCTAGTCTACACGTACAGCTTACATTATCTAGTCTACACGTACAGCTTACACTGGCTAGTCTACATGTACAGTTTACACTGGCTAGTCTACTTGTACAGCTTACACTAGCTAGTCTACACATACAGCTTACACTAGCTAGTCTACACATTCAGCTTACACTGGCTAGTCTACATGTACAGCTTACACTGGCTAGTCTTCATGTACAACTTACACTAGCTAGTCTACAGGTACAGCTTAAACTGGCTAGTCTACATGTACAACTTACACTGGCTAGTCTATATGTACAACTTACACTAGCTAGTCAACACGTATAGCTTACAATAGCTAGTCTACACATACAGCTTACACTGGCTGGTCTACACATACAGCTTACACTGGCTAGTCTACACGTACAGCTTACACTTGCTAGTCTACACGTACAGCTTACACTTGCTAGTCTACATGTACAACTTACACTAGCTAGTCAACACGTACAGCTTACACTGGTTAGTCTACATGCACAACTTACACTGGCTAGTCTACATGTACAACTTACACTAGCTAGTCTACAGGTACAGCTTAAACTGGCTAGTCTACATGTACAACTTACACTAGCTAGTCTACACGTACAGCTTACACTAGCTAGTCTACACATACAGCTTACACTGGCTAGTCTACATGTACAACTTACACTGGCTAGTCTACATGTACAGCTTACACTAGCCTTCATGTACTTACCTTGAAAAACACATCCCTGTGGAGTGGATTCCTGACATACAGTAAAAGTTTGACAAAGTTGTGGGCTGTCCTGTTGAAGAGTTTCACTTGAGAATTCTTACTTGACTGATACTTCTCCAGGAACAAGAACCAAAACATGTCCTGTTAAAACAATCAAAACTATTGAATAAGTGTTTGCTTTGATACTAGATTTTTCCAGGTAAGTTACTCTACAGAAAATATGCACTTAATAGAGTTCATTTAGGACTTTTGTGTTAAGTTTACAGTCTGTAACTGAAACCAAAATTTTAATAGCCCTCTACATCTATTGGGTGTCATTCAATTAGTTACTTAATCACAATATGTAATAATTATCAATATCATTAAATCTATTTTCTGACATCACAAATTTCATTTTTTGACATTATTAATATCATATAAAAATTTCATAAAAAGATATTTATTTAATGAAATCATAAACTGAATTTGTAAAATCACTAAATTCCGATTTTTTTATCATGGATTCAATTTTCTATCATCAAAGTTAGGGATATTAATTACATATATATATATGTAGAATTTTCACAAAACTATTAATTTATACTCCAACTTTGAAAAATATTGTTATTATTTACTGAAAACACAAATTTCAATTCATATGATAAAATAACCTGATAAGATGACATCATGGATTGGAATAAATGATATGTTTGTTAAAATCAAACTAATATAATAATAATAATTGGAGGTTCTTATATACCGCTTTATCACGACCTAGTTTGTAGGTCGTCTCAAAGCGGTTCACAAATTATTATCCGTGGTTATAGGGCCTTTGCAACCAGCCAATACATTTCTCAACTCCCGGGGGAGCATACAGCCGGAGCTGCCATTTCGGCGCTAACAGTTAGCATTCAACAATTCTAGCACTGCCCAACCACGTACTCATTTACAGCTGAGTAGACTGGAACAAGCGGAGTAAAGTATCTTGCTCAAAGAAACAACACACAACACTTCGGGCACGAGCCTGGTATCCTACCACAAGACTACCTCCTAAATAAATATCATTAAATAGATACCACAATTTTTTTTTAAATGTTATCACTTAATTTGCATTCATAACATCATATGTGTAGAGAAAATATCACTGTTTATACTTACTTTGACTACTTACAAGTGTACCTTCGCTAATGTAACAAACCTTTTGAATATATGCAGTCTGTTTTAGGAGGGACTATTTTTGTAAAAGTACTGTTTTAAGATTAATGTGTTGTAGAGTGTTGAATATCATATGGGTGATTTAGAAAATGTGTTTTACAAGTTAATGACTCTAGAATTACGCTAATCAAAATGGAATTTGTGTTGTATAGATATATATTTAGAAAAGTGATCAAATAAGTGTTGATGCTGCTATGAAAAACAGTGCATTGTGTATATGATAATAGCTTTTTCTTACCAGAAAAACTCCCTTTGATAATTCTGAGTAGTACCACAACTCAAAGTCTGGGGCATATGATGGCTGTAACAAACAATGTCATTGTTATAAGGAAACATACTCCATACCAGGTAACATTATAGTACTCCATACCAGGTAACATTATAGTACTCCATACCAGGTAACATTATAGTACTCCATACCAGGTAACATCATAGCACTCCATACCAGGTAACATTATAGCACTCCATATACCAGGTAACATTATAGCACTCCATACCAGGTAACATTATAGCACTATATACAAAACATAGCCAAGTATCATGGCTCCAGATAGTGTTTCTTTAGATAATGTTGTTTAAATTTTTAGCTTATTTGACCCATGTGACCTTGAAGTTAAGTCAATAGGCCATTTATATGAGAACATTTTATAGCCCTCTTACTACTGACCTAATATCATTATTCAAGGTCTTTCTGTTGGACTGGTCTTATGATGAAGCTATTTAAAGGAAAAGTTGACAACTAACTCGGACGCCACACCATAAAACAAACTCAGGGGCACTTTCTTTTATTATCTACATGTATACCTACCTGACTTAAGATGCTCATATCATGTCCATACATGTATACACAACTTTGAGACCTATGTATACCTACTCAATTATTTTCTTTGAGAAACAAATGTACATGCCTCCTGTAACTTTTAGATAAGCATCCGTGTGCTAACCTATATGTACCTTGAGGTTAAACTGTATGTGTACATGCCTACCTTTACATTCAGTTGTACATGTGCATCAGCAGCCTTCCTCAACATGTCCTCTACGAGGATCTCATCAGGGAGTACAGTCAGCTCTGTGTGGTCAAACCCAGGGTACTGGTGTAGCTGTAGCCATGACAACAAAACAACAGGTGTTAGACATGCATCACTCAATCAACATTCAACACACTCCCTCTTTATAAGCACACAAATTTTCATCTTCTTATTGTTTTTTAAAGTATTTCATCCTCTAAAAATGAAGTTGATGCCGGTAATTACTTATAACATACCTCTACAAATTTTGGTTTTCCAGAGTCCTTCTTCACCTGCAAAAAGAACCAGAATCATCAGTATAGTCTAAAGGCAACCACAACCATAATCATGAATAATAATCTGAGTCAAAAAATACAACAAGAACCATCATCAGGGCCTACACATACAACAAAAACCATCATCAGAGCCTACACATACAACAAGAACCATCATCAGAGCTTACAAATACATCAAGAACCATCATCAGAGCTTACAAATACAACAAGATCCATCATCAGGGCCAACAAATACAACAAAAACCATAATCAGGGCCTACAAATACAACAAGAACAATCATCAGAGCCTACAAATGCAACAAGAATCATCATCAGGGCCTACAAATACAACAAGACCCATCATCAGGGCCTACACATACAACAACAACCATCATCAGAGCCTCAAATACAACAAGAATCATAATCAGAGCCTACAAATACAACAAGACCCATCATCAGAGCCTACACATACAACAAAATCCATCATCAGGGCCTACATATACAACAAAAACCATCCTCAGAGCCTACACATACAACAAGAACCATCATCAGAGCCTACAAATACAACAAGAATCATCAACAGAGCCTACACATACAACAAAAACCATCATCAGAGCTTACAAATACAACAAGAACCATCATCAGGGCCAACAAATACAACAAGAATCATCATCAGAGCCTACAAATACACCAAGATCCATCATCAGGGCCAACAAATACAACAAGAACCATCATCAGAGCCTACACATACAACAAGAACCATCATCAGAGCCTACACATACAACAAGAACCATCAACAGAGCCTACACATACAACAAGAACCATCATCAGAGCCTACACATACAACAAGAACCATCATCAGAGCCTACAAATACAACAAGAACCATCATCAGGGCCTACACATACAACAAGAACCATCATATATATATTGCAGTCTACACATTGTGAAGTGTACTAAAAGAACAAAGTGTTCAAATGCAACATAAACCAATAATATATCAAAGTCTACAAAGAGAACATATAAACCATTATCAAAGTGTAAAAATTAATTAATGGAACATGAACCAATACAGAAGTCTTCAAAGAGACCAATTAAGGGTTACATTTCTTACCAGAAAGATTTCAGTTATGCTTTGTTCTTTTTGAAAGCATTTATTAAATTGAATGTGTAATTTCTGATTGTCAACACTTAGTTTTGCATTCTTGAAGGTAGAACACCCACCGCTGTAGTTTTACTGGGCTGCATGCTGACTTTCGATATATGCTTCACTCTCTCACTTCTTCCAGGTAAGAATGCTTAAGGAAAATGAAAATGCAACTAATGAAGAATAAGTAAAAGAAACTGACATTAGTTGAATATCTTTTCAATCACTTTTAAAGATGACTTTCATGTATGTTTAATAAATGTATTAAGTTACATGTACAAAACCATGGAATCACAAGAATAATGTGTGATGATGTGTGATGATCTATAAGGGAATCTCCTATCTTTAATAAGGAGTTTACCTGAAGGTATATTATGTAGTTTTAAAAAGAAATATGAAATTTAGTATAATATTTAGGTGTATGTAAATTGTTAGAATAATTATCTACAATCAATAAATATTTGATAAAAGAAGATAAAATGTTCTGGGTTGACATAAAATTCATAATCTACGTCACATGTGCATTTTCAGTTGGTACAAAGTAATTTTAAGGTTTTTGAATTCCTATTATACTGTCACAAAATACTGTTCTCATATCTTCCTCTTTGTCTAAATTAGCATTTACATTGTCATAGATGTTAAGCAGGTGATATATAGTACATCCTTACAGTTGGTGTTTACCTGCTATAATATATCTGGAAATATGATAAAAACATATTTCAATATTTCTCTTAAGATTGACAATTACCTACATGGTCCACTGGTCATGATCAATTTCCATGATGTTGGGATTTGACCATATGTCATCATTTTTATGAAAAGTTTGTCTTAAAGGGATGTAAGGGAAGGTAGAAGGTTGTTGATAACTTTAGGAGAAATCAGGTCCAAATGGTTAATTATCATCAATTATTTTGATATGGTCTTGGGTATCTTGGTGCGAAATATTTGTTTGTTAACTGAACATGAATAAAAGAAGGTTTACAGTACAATATATATAGTCAAAAAAGTAAAATAATGCATAGCTGTTGTTATACATACTTTGTTTCATAGTAAAATACCCAGCAAATTTATTCACTTCTCTTGTTTCCTTTTCTGCAAACAGAAATACAGGTGACTGTTAATACAAGTTTTCACAGGGAAACACTGGTTCTTGTCCTGTTGCAGTAGAATATATCATACATAATATGTGATGTTTACTCCAACATTAAAAAATAAGTTTTCCTTTCAACCTTCTGGACAATTACATAAGAAAACTGAAAACCATTTATAAACTTTTCTCAATCCTAATACATGTACCATAATCTCATGACTACATCATCAATTACTTTCTTTTACATATAACTCATGTCATTTGATCTCCTTGTACTGTCAGCAATATTTGTCTGTCTAGTATTTTGATTGCATTTATAATTGATAATTATTTCTTGTTATGAATCAATAATGTGTACAGAATGTGAAGAATATTGACCTCTCCTCTGGTATGTGTCTCGTCCCCTTTCACTGTTGATATGCTCAGCATCCCCATCATCAACATCTGATGCCCGACTCTCAACAACCAGCTGTGTGTATTTTTGTAGTTTTCTATCAAGTTTACTGATCTTTTTATTTACCTTTTCTATGGAACCAATAAAAAATGCTTCGCAGTTGTTAAGGAAACAAAAATCAATACTGTCATATGAAATATCCGAATAATTCATAACACAATATGGTATGTAAATAATTATGGTTGAATTATTCACAATAATTTTGATGTTACTAAAATATACTCAATTTCATGTACTCCATTTCACTGTATCAAAATATGTTCATCAATTGGTTAGAGCATCTGTAAAAAGAATTAAGAGGTTTTTGGTTTTAATACAGTTCTGACCCCATTCCATCTTTCCTCTATTACACAAACACGCTCTTTTACATATTGTTAAAATATGTTTTTTGACTTTCTACAACCATCTGGTTGGTTATAATTACTGGTACCTCCTTTGTAGAAGAAAGTCCTTTTCCCAGTAGAAAAGCATAGCTAAATCAAGCCATTTCGGTGGTACATATATAACATCTTAATTGTACATACGCTTACTAGTGTAGCCGAATCGACATCGATTTGTGGACAACTTGTACATATTTTACACCTTTGTGCAACATACACTTTACTGGTCATTTGTCTGATAAAAGTGACAGAGTACATACCATACTAGTCATTGTAATGTCACATAAAAACAAATTTTGGTTGTGCTACATGAATCTTTCCACAATCAACTCCGCATATGGCAACCAACGCATACAGACATTCTTTTATCCCCCGCACCATCACAACATGGAACCTCCTGCCACCCAGCGTCGCCAGCATCGAGGACCTGGACGCCTTCAAGGCGGCAGTCAGGGGAGAGGTGGAATAGACTTTTCCGATTGTATATAGTTTTAACCGCACAAAGGCTCCACACTGCACAGATGTACATAGTCACCCTTGAAGTGATGACCATACATGGTTTTTGTCGAGTAAAACATTGAAGTTGAAGTTGAAGATCAATATGAGACTTACTGGGTGTTTTTTTCAAATGTTTATACACACTTTCCTTCACTCAGTACTATCTGGCGGTAGCCTTGCTATGGCTCAAAAATGTGCTAAAAAATTGTTTGTCAAGCTGAGTCTTAATACCAGCCTTGAATTGAGGCCAGTGAGTAATCTTTAAACAGCTAGTACAAGAGGAATTATGCATATTTAAAAAAAGCCATCAACCTTAATGCCATATATCAGATTTAAAAAAAATCTGCTTTTATGTATCATTTAAATAGCTGAAGTTCAAGTTCATTATACATGTATTCAATTTACAAATCTTAATATCGATGTATTACTTGGTAATTTTAAACATGGGGTTGAAATTCATGCTGACCATAACACTTTTCACATAACAAGTTAGGTACAATGTTGAAACTCAATATTGGCCGTGGATCTATCTGACCTGTCACATTCGATTTTAGCATTGATTTTATAAGCATATCGGCCAGTGGCAAGGACACGTGTGCATTTAATTAATATTTTTCACAACCACACATATAGCTCTGCAAAATTATTGTTGCAACGTATCACTTATATTGAATAAAAAGACTTATTTCGATCGAAATAGAAATCTTAGCAACCGATATTCGTGGGACATATACATCAATTTACGCACAGCTGTAGTATTTTCTAAGGATACGTGAACGCGCACGCTGTCTAGCTTCTAAGAATTTCTTCTGTTTCTCTATTTCGTCTCTTTTCAAGTCGGAATTTTCGTCGAATATCTCCATAGGAGAATCTACTCGACTCCTCCTCGCCATTTTGTTTGCGCATTTTCGGTGTCGAAATTCTGCTTGAAAATATATCTGGTTATTCCGTCCTAATCAATACATTGTAATGACGCAGATGGCTATGGTAACCACATAAGACTAATAAAGAACGTGTGTTCCGGATTTGATCACTGTAATAAGGGAGGAAAAGATGGAGAACAAATAACGGAATTGAGCATAAAAATGTAAATCTAACTGGGTCTCGTATGGAAAAGAATATATATAAATATGGTTGTAAAGTAAATAATGTTACAGTGAAATTTAACAAATATCATTATGTTAATCTATGGAAGGTTTGAGCATCAACGTTAAAAGCTAACTGTTATGTTAACATACAATCGTTCCAATGTAATCAGTTAAAACGTTAACCAAATGAGTTGATTTTCTTTTCTTCGGTATTTAAGAGCAATTGAGGGTACTAAGGCCCTAAACCATAAGTAACTTCAAGTTCTGTAAACGTATATATATATATTTCAGCCAAGTCTGTTAGCTTATCGACATTAACCGTGTCGCTGTCACCTCAGTGCTTCCTTAGAAATAGGCCTAGATCACATTCGTTGTGTAAGGACCATCCGTCATGTCGTTTTGCGGCTGGTTTAGCGGAGAACAATACAGAGATCACTTCGAGACAGGTTCGTCAAAAAATATCTATTACATTACAGTTGATTTCTGAACTTTTACTAGCTTAGCCTAGTTAGGAGCATAAACATGACCCAATTCAACCAGCTGAAAACTGGGTCAATATCTAGAACATCCAACCGCCACTACGCTAACGAAAGCATCCTATTGTGTTGGACCGATTTTAAAAGGGTTGATATTGGTTCGGAACTATAAACTCTTTCTTAATTTCACCATTTAAAGGTAGCATTCCAAAAGTTAATTCATTGTTGGTTAAAAAGACGAAATTTGCATTTATACAGTAACTAAATGTCAAAAACGATAATAACTTTTTAATCATTATATTTAAGCCAAACATTATTTGGATGCTATCTTAAGCAATACAATTGAAGATACAAATAGGTATTAAAAAACTATTTTTTAATAAATACATATAAGGAATTACTACTACTATAAGGAATTACAGGTATGTCAGATGACTATATACTGCATGGTGACTGGGTGGTTAGGGGCATAGTTAAGTGCATGTCCATCTAGCAGTTCTGAGGTCCAGGGTACGAATCTAGTTTCATAGAATCTCACATGTGTGATCCGTGGACAGGGAAATCTTACCTGAGGTTGAGATTTCCCTGTTCATGGATCATGTATGATGGACCCCATGTACTAAGATAACAAAGCCATTAATTTGAGTTTTAGCCTGACACCAGAATAGACATTTTGATAGATAGATGTCTAAGTCTGGTGTCCGAGCCAGAGTGACCACACCATAAATCTATCTGTCAAAATGTCAGTCTGGTGTTAAGGTCAGAGGAAATTTGGGCTAACAAAGCCATATTTAACATACATGGAATCATATTATATCATGATACTTTGTTGTGTATCATATCCTTGTTTTGCTTGCCTGTTTCACAATACACTAACAATACTGAAATTATCAACCAATGTCTAATTGAGATTTTAATAAGTAAATGGAATGCCAAATTAACATATACATTTAATTAATTGTACCTATCTTCAAATAAGTGAAGATAGGTACAATTAATTGAAGATAGGTACAACCTAGCTCCAATTGAATTGAACCTAGGTACGAGTACAACATATCCTCAATTGAATTGAACCTATCTTCAATTAATTGTACCTTAATCTTCAATTGATTGAAGATAGGTACAATTAATTGAATATATGTTATTTTTGCGTTCCATGTATCTATGAATCGTCGAATTAACATATATTCAAATAATTGAAGATAGGTGCAATTCAATTGGAGATTGGATCAATTCAATTGAGGATATGTTGTATTTGTACCTAGGTTCAATTCATTTGTACCTAGGTTTTGAACCTAGGTTCAATTCATTTGTACCTAGGTTTTGAACCTATCTTCAATTAATTGTACCTATCTTCAATTATTTGAAGAAAGGTACAATTAATTGAATATATGTTAATTTTGCGTTCCATGTATCTATGAATCGTCAAATTAACATATATTCAAATAATTGAAGATAGGTGCAATTCAATTGGAGATAGGTTCAAATATGATGAACTTATCTTTAATTGAATTATACCTATCTTCAATTTAATTTTGTTGACGATATTTGGCCAGAGGCATGCTGACATTAGGGCTGCCAGGTTAGTTCAAATTATTGACCTTCACCCTTTTTCAAGGTCACATGGGTCAATTGTCTTAAAAAACCTTTCAACAACTTCTTCTGAATAACCCAGATGAGAATTTCCTGAAAAAGTTAAACACAGAACTGTACTGGGTTTTTTTATGGAAAAGTAAAATAGATAAAGTGAAAAGAGATATAACTGTTAAAAAATACATTGACGGAGGTCTAAAAATGTTACATGTAAAGTCTTTCATTGAATCTCTAAAGTTAACATGGTTAAGGAGACTCTATACAAGTCCAAGTAAATTATTCTAAGAACTTCTGTTGATGATCATATTTTGGCTAACTGTGGAACTGAGTATATTTCAATATGTCACAATAACTGTAAGAATTTATTTTGGAAAGATGTTTTTGAAGCATGGATAAACTTATCAAATAAACACTATTCATATCAATCTCCAGATAAATTGGCCAAAACACCAATATGGTATAATAATGTAATTAAAATAGATAATCAGAGTATTTTTTATCGGGATTGGTACAATAAAGGAATTATTATTATTAGCGATTTAATCAATAAAGACACTAATTCGTTTTACTCTTTTCAGGAATTTCAACAGTTCTTTGGTATAAATACAAACTTTCTTAATTACCAAGGACTTATTTCAGCTATTCGAAAACATATACAGAAACAAGATTTACCATGTCCTATCTATCCTTTCATACCAATTAATCTAGAAATACTTTTCCGCAGTAAAAAAGGGACACAAGATTTTTATTATTTACTCAATAAAAATAATACAATATCAACTGGAAGAAAAAAATGGGATGAAGTTTTTAATTTTGATAATGAAACATGGAAAAAAATA